TATTCAGCTTGACCCGGTGCCAGCTATGCCGAGCCCTGACCCCAGCGCCTCAACCGGGATTTCAAGCTTGTGTGTACTAACACACATCGCACCGTGGTGACTAGACGGATGACGTCTACTATTATTGATATGGCTCGTAAAATAATGAAAATGACAGAATGCATTCGAAACGTTGCCCTCAGTGATGTCAAGGAAACTCACTAGAATAATTTCTTTGAGCACTTTGTCCACATTGCAATGCGATCCATGATAGAAACGCACTGAGCGCTCTGCAGCCATTTTATCTGCACGAGATGCCAGAAGAAACTTTGGGGTCTCAGGCAGAAAGAATAGAGCAACGAAAAATATAGCACCTAAATCATGGTGATCAGGAAGTTGTGGTTAGTGCTGTTACTTAAACTTCCTCTTCAGTCACTTCACCGTAAAAATCTCAACATTTTCCTTGAAAAAACCGCTTTTGCCGCAGTAATGAAACTTTGTGAAGAATTTTTCTGTGCTCGCTAGTTTTGAAGATGGCTAGCTACTGCACCTGTGAGCGAATATTAGGAAATAGCTACAGTATGAAGGCTCCCAAAAAAGACAAACGAACTCCAAAACGAGCCCTCACGAATAGTTTCTCCTTTCCCTTCCTCCTCCCCTCCCCCACCCCCTCCCCCTTTCTCTTCTCCACCGCTTCCTGCCTCGTAATTTCCGTACTCGGAATGTCTAAACTCACAAAATGGCACTGGAAATGCTGTCAATACCACCAAATTGTTGCCGAGCAGCTGTCGAGTACCAAGCATCATCCCGACAAGGCACATCGAAGAATAGCTGATCTCGCTCAGAAAAGTCATCATACCGCGTTTTTCCGTTGGTGAACATTCCTGAAAATTAGCAGTTGAAATCTATGATAGCAAAAAGGTACATATTACGTACCTGCAAGAATAGAATGCAGGACTGGTACGTTACAGCCTCGCACATAGATGTTAAAAATCGTCCGATAATCAGAAGTTCCGGGCGATAGAGCCAAATGGCCAAGAGTCGAAGTATAGCTCCAACTATGGCAAACCCATTACCGACAAGAAATCCAACTAAAACATCTATGTTCGTAAAGGAGAAACAGAAAACATTGTTGCTAGACACATTGATTATGCTCTTTCCTCT